TCTTAATTCTATTCTAATGAGCTCACCGATGTCTTCAGGAAAATTATTGTTGAACATTCTGCTCATGTCGAATTAAACTATTGGCTGTGAGAAAGTGTCTTTTCGGCAGAACATGTTTTCAAGATACTCTTCATATCTTTGAGGATAAACCCCTGAGAATGAACAAAGTACATTACAACACAATCCAGTTCAATTACGGCTTTACACCACTGGCATGTAGCTCGTTAGCTGGAGTGCTGGTGGTTGTTGGTCACAGAGATATAAGTCAAGCATTGCGAGTTAACTGAGAATGCTTCTAATAAATATTTTTTACAACAAATCAATGTTAAGATACAGTAGCTTGCGGATCAAAAAGGCAGTAAAAGTTTGGATAGTTTAAATACTCAGAAATCATTTCACTTCAGCACTCTGCCCACACATGTTAGTCTCATGGCGGAGGTGGTGGTGCAAAGAGTCAGTTACATTTCTGTGGATGGAGACACTATTTAGGAGCTACTTTTGTATTTCTCTCTTAATTTTTGATTTGTCACTTCATGTGTGCACAGAGGGAACTTGCCACCGGTGATTACACTCGACACAGATATTGGAATTTGAAAAACATACTTGGGGGGAAAAAATGGCTGATTCTAAGGCCTCTTGTTATTTATCAGAAGGAATCAGAATTTGTTATGAGCAAAGATGCCAAAGGAAGATCATTGTTGGACATTCACTGGTGTGGTTAACGTAATGACCAGACAACCAGACAAGACTAGATATGACAAGACAAGATTAGATCAGGAAATCGGATTAGATAAACTGAGATACGAGAAGATAAGCATCCAGAATATGACGTGCGGTAGAAAAAACAAACATAAAACACAGAGCCTATTACAGGAATGTTGGCACAGTGCTTCATAACCATTCTAACTCTGCATTTACTTTTATCATCTGTGGTTTGACTGACAGGTTGAGTTTAGGGGGACGACAGGACCAGCAGTCAGCACAATGTATAGGGGAGCACACATGTACACAAGCAAACACCTACACACAGATGTATGGCATATACCTGTCTCCCTAGGTTAGCAGAAGACCACAGTAATCATATTTGCCAGGTTCTTGGCAGTTTCAGCAAAGCAGTCAATCTGATAGCAGGGTCGCACAGGTGTGTGTATGTGTGTGTGTTTGCGTGTTTGTGAGAAAAAAGTGCAACAAACGCTAGCCACCATGCAGCATGAAAGAGAGAGGGATAGAGACCATACCCTTTGAGAAACAGAGTGAGTGAGACAGAAAGGGTGAGAGACGTAGATTCGGAGCAAGTGAGAGAGACAGAGGGAGGGGAAGAGAGATAAAGTGAGAGGGGGAGAGAGACACACGAGAAAATCAATGCTGTTTCCACCAGGGACAGAATGTCATGAAGGTTTTTTCACTCTGTGGCATAATGGAGGGTTGGAGCCTTTTACTGCAGGAGTCACCTTGTCTAATGGAGGGAGGGATGGAGGGATGGAGTGGAGAGAGGGAGAAAGGAAGAAGAGGAAAATAGTGAGGAAAAAAGTGGGAGAGAGAATATGGAGTGAGCTGGAAATGGAGGGATGTTGAACAAGTAAGGAGGAATGGATGAAAGGAAAAAAGACAAGGGAATTGAAAGATAGACAAAAGACAAAGAGGCAGAAAAGACAAACGATTGACAGACAGTGATGGGATAAGGGAAACAAGAGGAAGAATAATGGATGATGGGAGAGGAAAGATGGAATAGAGGATGAAGATGTGATGACAGATGAAGGAAGAGAGTAGGAAGCGATGGAGGACATAAAAAGGAGCAAAGGGAAAGCAATGCAATTTGAGGGGAAAGGAAAACATGGCGGGAAGAAGGAAGGACGAGGAGAAAGTGTTGGAAAGATGAGGAGAACAGGGAAGAGGAGAAGGAGGATGTGGAGGTGCGTTAAAATGTCAAAAAGGGAGGAGTAATAAAATAACTACCGTCATATGCCCGAGTCACCCCTAATTTTGGCAGAAAAAAGTAAAATAATTCACTTTGTAGGTCGAAAGCAATTTAGTGCAAAACATTTTAACAGCGGAAGAGACACTTTTACCATCAAATTTGAGTGACATGACTTTATAGAGCTGGCAGAAAGTGGAGAGCGGTATCAGAACAGAGCCTGGTGATAAAAAGGTGCTGTAAGGGCAGGAAGTGGAATATAGCCAATGTGCAAAGTCTCGAAACTCATATTGAATTCCACCTGCTGTACATTGGATTTGCTCAGCGTACAGTCAGTGACTCTAGGAGTCTGTAGTTGTACTGGGCAGCTCTCAGGTGTAAATGTGTGTTAATGTATGAATGTGACGCAGGGTAATACCGATAAAGAGCTTGCCTCCTCAGCAAACCCACCCTGGATAAATACAGGTTAAAAACATGCAAGGTGCTGCAACATCGCAACACTAAGATGTGATTTGCTCTGCATTTTTCTGGCACCGGACTTCAGATAGTTGTGAAATACTTGAGTCAAAGAGGTAAGGTGGTGCGCAGTGTTTAGTTTGGATTGTGTCTGATGTGAGGAGGGAGAGTGGATCAGATGATCAGAGGCCAACCTCAACTCAAAAGGTTTGGAGCCCGGCCATGAGAGCCGACACTCGCTCTCAAAAGCACACACTCACACATACACAGCAGCACAGGTTACAGCGTACAGGCACTTTCAGGCCCATTTAACTTAAGAGTAATACTCTCCTGTGGACTTTGGCGGCCATGTTGAACTTACATCACACTTGGGAGAGGAAACTAAGCAGAGGGGCACATTTGGCTGTCGCCTAACTCTGAATTACCGATATGTAGCAAGATTTCACGGATTGCCCAATGAAAAAGAGCTAGAAACACATAGATCTTGACAATTCAAGGACACATTAATTCACATTTTAAGGTGATTATACGGATGTACTGGAAATAAGTGCTTTTTGTAATTATCTCTGCCAGGAGATTGTGTATTAGGTCGTCTAAGTGAGTGTGCATCTCTGTGTCCGTCTGCGGTTAATCTTGCATACTGCTGAACTCATCAGCCTAATATTCTTTTGTGCTCAATTTATGACACCTCATGGTTGCAGTGATTCACACTTTTAGAAAACTTGTTATATTGACTGTTTCATACCATCATTGACCGCTGACTCTTAACTGGCCGATAGGGGCGGTAAGGGATTCACAACTACTTCAGTTAGGCCTCTAATCTTGTTTTGGGTTTGGCTGACAAACTAATGTGGCTAATACGGCTTAAAGAGCTAACAGCTTACAAAACGAAACACACAGCCGGAACTGACAGTTTCTGTTTAGCGGAAGCGTTGAACAGTCAACATGAAGTGTTACACATAACACGTGTGGAAAAAAGACTATTTAACTAATCTCTAAGGAACTTAGTAACAAACACTACGACCAAGGGTGTATACCAATTAGCAGTACTTGTCAGCTTTACAAAGCCAAATAGAATTGATGTGTTCGATCATTTAGCAGCTGTTCTCGTCATTTTATCGTACAACCATCAGCAGATGGAGTTTGCCCAGTTGCAAGGGAACTACAGCGGATAACACAGTTTCACCTCAACTTCAATTTTGTAGCTGTTCAGGGGTTTTTAGTCATATTTCATGATCTTCATTGGCATAAATTAATTATGAACCGTCTGTGGATCAATGATTGCAATGATGATTTATTCATATTTTGGGAAATTCGTATCTTATTCTATTTACCCAATGTACATGCAGTCTTCCCACACATGGCATATGTTAAAAAATAGACAATCTGTACATGGAGATCTCAGTCATCTCCCTCACTTTTATTTCCTATCTTATTTAGCCAAAGCATATTGTTTATTTGTTTGTTTTCTGTCAGTCAACAGCTCTAGTAGGGAAATAAGACTTGTGCCACATCGAGAAGGATGGGCTATTATCTTTTTGCATCTTGTAGTTATTATGCTCTGCGCTGTCATGCCAGTCATGACTGATAAAACACAACAGCACACTTTCATTTGCAGAGCAAAGATTTGTTGAGCAAATCTGTGTTTTTTTTTCCAGCATCATCCAGTTTTATAGTCCCATAGAGTTCTATCCTATTCTATTCTATCTCACCCTATATCGAACTCTCACACGTTGAGGACATTGTTTACCCCTAAGACACTTTCTGGTAGTTTCCTATGCAGCATCAGGCCAGATTGATCAGCCATTATTGATGAGAAGCATTGATCCGGCAGCGTATTGATCACACTATTGGTGATTAGGACATCATGAATAAATGACAGGGGGGGGGGGGTATTGAGTGCTTGACGTGAGGACAAAAACTCTCTGGACAGGAAGAGAGGTGAGGGAGATGAGAAGTAAGATGAAGAAGATGAGAAAACGGGGAAGACCGGCAAAAGTCATGAAAAGCAGAATGCTAAAAAGAATCAAAAGTTGCAGAGAAGATGGAAATAACAGGAAGCTAATCTAAACCAAATCTGTGATTCAGAAATAAGATTTGATGCATTCCTTATAACACAGAAATCTAAAATATGCACACCATGGATGAAGGTTAACTTCATGTTCCTAAGATACAGTTCCCCTCCTTACATAGCTTCAGTGTTGGAAAAGTAATCTTACTCCACAGTGTCTGACAGTATAACACATACCTACAGTATAACCTTCATATGATGTTTGCACTGAGGGAAATATTTAAACCACAGACGTTGATGCTTTGATGGCTACACCATTCCACTGAATGGAAATATTTTTGGGCTTCATATTGTACACATTTCCTTTAAAATTCAGCCCGTTATGTTTGGTATGTCTGAAAACATTGGGATATCCACACAAAGCCAAAAATGAAAAGGAAACATTAAAATATAATGCAGCAGCAATTGGGATCTACTTTTCTTTTGTGAGATAACAATAAAAAAAAAAGATCAATATCCAAATAAGGTGCAGGAAAATAAAGATGGATGAGGCTGGAGAGTAGATACATGAAGGAAAGGAAAGTAGAAAACGAAAAGGAAGGAAGTGATTGTGCTTACAGGTTTTTGACACTTGTAATTCCTCTGAAAGCTTTCCTCGGAACCGCCTGAATCTGGTTCTCGCTTAGGTCCCTGGAGAGAGAGAGAGAGAGAGAGAGAGAGAGAGAGAGAGAGAGAGAGGACATTAGTTGAGCACTCACAGAAAGATATATGGAGTCAAATGATAAACAAAACCACAAACATTTGATCTATACCACAAGTACACACACACACACACACACACACACACACACACACACACACACACACACAATTACAGTACAAAGGCACAAGAGGAGGAAGAGATGGAGAGAAAGGGAGAAGGAGGATGATATATGACATTCATGATCAGTGGAACAATTTGGTCCAAAGAGCTTCAAAGACAAAAGGAACTATGAGAAATACTACTGGCACGAGTCCATCGACTGCCTTGAAGTGTGTGTGCGCATATGAGAGTGTGTGTGTCTGATTAATGGAGAGGCAGTGGCGGGGAGAGAACGAGGAAAGAGGAAGAGAGAATCAGAATAAAAGACCAGTGTGTGTGTGTGTGTGTGTGTCTGTTGAATGTGTGTGTTTTGCATATTTCTTTAATGTAAAAAAATCGTAAGCCCTATATATATATATATATATATATTTACATATATTTATACTCTTCTCTCCCTCAGGCTTTTCCTCCTTCTCTTTAAACACACACAATGAAAATGGCAGCACATACAACAGACTGCTAACTTTGTTTCTTTCCTTTTTTTCCCTTCTCCGTAATGAATACCGATATGAGTCAAATGATTTTTGACATGACACAACAGCCTGGCTTTAACTCTGTTAGTGTTGTTTGTCGGGGAGAAGGCCTGCCAGGCAAACCGCGTTCAGAAAACACAATGTAATTAGATAGGTATGAAATATCAGACAAGCTAATCACCCTATACTCCTGCCAGTCAGGTCTGAGTTCAAAACACACACTCACATACTGAACAGACAGCCAATGAGCACACAAAACACATGACCATGCATGTTAGACAGTCGACACACACACACACACACACACGCGCTCGGATAATCACAACTGAACACGGCCTGGACTTTTCCATTTGACCTTGACACACACGCACATATGCTCACACACACACATATGCACAAACACACACGCACAGAAATCAGCCATCCTCGCTGTGGAGAAAGGTAATTATGTACTAACCATATTCATAACATTTTCCTGTCACACAGTTAAGAAACAAAGCCTCTTATTTGTCAAGTTCCACGGACAGACAATCACACAAGCCAACACACTCACACACACACACGCACACACACACAACACACATATATAAACCCTCACACGCATACTGTATATGCTTACGCCGCCTAATTTACAGTCACGTACACAGGAGGAAAATTGGTTGTGTGTTATTCCAGAGCCAATCAACTTTTATTAGGGCCGTGAATGTTAATTGGCGAGCCGTGCTCGGAAAACAGAAAACTAATTTCCTCAAACTAACAAGGTTCCATCGTTTTGGACGTTTCCCTTTTAGCCCTGTTTTTCTCGCTCATTGCTTTTGTCTGACAAGAGATGAGCGGCCCTGTTTTTTTATTCTTGATGGAAAAAGTATGTGCCTGGCATTGTATACTCTTTAGGAAAAGGAAATATGTGCTTTTATGTGCAATTTTGCTCAGCGATTGCGGTGACGAAGGAGCAGAAAAAAGGCAAACGTTTGACAGACGGGAATGGTGTTATGATATATTATTGTGCAACACAGCCGGAAAATATTCCTTGTGTTTACACTTTTTGTTTAGAAGGTTTTGACACTTTTTGGGATCAGATTTTTTTCTTTCTTTGTTTCTCCCATGATGACATTGACAGAGAAAATGTGAAACCGATAAAAAGCAGAGATGTTATCACTCTCGCAATCTTTTTCACCTCCATTAGCTATCTATTGTCTCCGTCTATCTACCTAACTAGCTAACTATATCCATGAATCTATCTTTCTGTATCTACATCATTTGCATCTCTTATACCGCCCTGCCCTCTGTGGACCGCTGACAAACAGAGTAGAGAATGATTGCAAAAAACAAAACAAGAAAGAAAGCACGAGAAGGAGAACAAGATAAAGAAAAGAAAAAAAACATTAAAAAGTCATATTTCAGAGGAGTTGCATGGCTAATAAATCTTTTATTGTTTTGTTTACCCACGATGATATTTATTTGTTATTGCCTCTAACAGAAGGAAAGCCATCCAAGTCAAATAAAAGCCATTATAAGACTGTGTGTGCGTCTCTCTGTCTGCCTTTATGACACCAGCTGAGTGACTGACACCAGCTCCAGGAGTCCACTGTTTAGGCCGCCATAATAAAACTCATATGTCACAAAGGCTTGAATTGAGTTTTCCTCATACGGTTGGTTACTGGTTGTCAATTTGTGCAATTGGTTTTAGGGTTATGGAAATGCTTTGGGTGACATTTTGAGAGGTGTAAACAACAGATGGACAACATTTTATTGGAAACGAGAAAAAAACGCACATTCGATTTGAGTGAGTATGCCGGGCTCAACGAGTGTGTGAGAAGATGGATGTTTGCTCTCCCTAAAATGGGTTTATAGTTGAATAAAGTATGTATCTGTCTGTTTGTAATGGTTGTTTAAAGCTGCAGTAGGCAAGATTGACAAATACAAAGGTATTATCAGCTTGAAACTGAGAAGAAAAGTTTTGTTTTTTAAAATAATTCTGGTGTGGCCATTGGCAAAGGACTGGCAGAGCACAGGAAGTCACAACAATGTGAAAAAGATGACGGCTTCAGCCCAAAAGATGCTTAACTCAGTAGCCATCGGTAACCGTTTTCACCACCTCCATCACCAGACACAGAGACAAAGAAATTGAATCATCATGAAGTCACTTCACGTGATTCCTGAACAGCAAAGGCATTCAAGTTTCAAATATTCATTATTAAATGTGCATCAATCAAAGTAAAAGAATGGGGAAAACAACTGTATTTAAAAGTTTATATTTACTTAAAATGTAATACTCAAGAACTAATTTGACCGACGGTGACCTGTCTTCACATTGTTATTCAGATGTTGACAAAACAGAAAACACACCAATGTTTTCTGTGGAATAACTAAAACTATTCAAAATGTACTCATAATAAGATCCTGATTGAGAAACTAAGGTTTCAGTGCCTTTAAGATGTGGCTGCGTATTTGGTGCAGTTTTGATACGACCCTTTATACTGGGAGGTATTGAATCTCTATATTGTATCATAATGTATTGTTTGTGTCTGAACACATTCAACATCCAGAGCTACGGTACGCTTTCATGTAAACAACTGTCGTCCTCTCATCTCTCTGTGAGTCATGCCTGCCGACCTTTAAGTAGAGCAAAGCCTATCACCAGCAGGAGATTGGCCTGTGGTCCTTGAAAAGGACACTCGCTGATAGACTAACCACACACACATACACACACAGACACACAGGCACACACACACAAGCACACACACGGCTCATTTGGATAGCTGGATGGCTTGTACACCAGTCTAGCAATCTACTCCCACATTTCAATTATTGGATTCAGTTTTTTTTGGTCCTCCTCTATTGCCACAGCGTTTGAAGCAGCGGGCAATTAATCTCTTAAAAATTCTATTAAAGAGACGGATGGCTGTTTGAATTATACATCAGTTCTATTAGGATGACAAATTCCGTAAATTATAGTGGTACTGATTATGAAAACAACTGCATATATTTTGAGGAATCGGGGAATCTCGACTACTGGATGGAGACAAACAATGCAAAAGTTCACAAAAGTTCAAATGAGCTATGTTTAGTATTCGTGGATGCAGGAAGAAAATAAAGAAGAATAGGAACAATAAAACAGCAGCAGAAGAGGAAAACGTGGTCTTCCATTACCCATTCCTTGCTTACCATGGCTTCCCTAAGTACTGTATAATTGATTGAACTTTGACCAAATGTCTTCCAGACCTTCCCCTTTCACCACACGGACCCCCCACCCTCCGTTCATGTTTCCCCAGCCAAGGCCTCTCCTCTC